GTGCATTTTTTTATTCTGCTTCTTCAAACGAGCGCTTCAAGGGTCTGTTCTTATTAACAGTCATCACCTAGCGGGCATATGCTTTTCAACCTCGGGTGCTTTGGCCTCCTGAGTGAACACCACCGGAAATCATGTTTATTGTACCAGAGGGCGGGGGTATCCCAACATAGCCTACCTCTTTTTTATCTTTTTGGTTCTGGGCGGCAGTTCTTTGTCCTTGGCCTCTCCTATTGAACTGACGTCCCCTGTAGGCTCTGCCCTGCTCAGAAGGATATTGGTTGTCCTGGTACACATCATGTGTGCTGTCAAGCTGATACCTCTGCCTCTGAGGTCGGTCATATCCTTGCACAAAGTGAGTTTGAGATGGTTGCTGGGTATAAGGCTTTTGTACATATCCTTCCAATTTTCCATTGCGAGCTAAGAACTCCAGCTTGTCCTTCAAATGTTGGCAATCTTCTGTATTGTGACCATAAGTACTATGGTAGTCACAATGCTTGCTCTTGTCTGTCCTTGGGGAATCATGCAGTGGGGGTGGGGGTCTTCTAATCCAATGCTGGATTTATGCTAGGATTTGAGACCTTGGCAAGGTTAAAGGAATGTAGTTGGCATACTTTGGAAAGTCAGCTGGTTTCCCCCACTGCTCATTAACTTTCTGTTTTTTCTTTTCTTCTCTCCTCGGTGGTTGTTCATGGCTTTTGCTCTGCTTATCATCAGCCCGTCGCTTGGACGACTGGAAGTCCTCTGACATAATGAAACTAGCCGACCTGTCATTCACTTCGTTCCACGTCTTTGGTGGGTTTTCTAGCAGGTCGTCTAGGAATCGATCACGCTTCAGGCCATGCAGCAAGGCAAACAAGCAGATGGTGTCGGGGACGTTGTCAATGTCTAAAGTAACCTTGTTGAATCGTTGCATGTAATCCCTCAGAGATTCCCCTTCTTTTTGATGAACCTGCATCAGTTCAGTCGTTGTACGTTTAATCTCCATTTGGCTCGCAAATTTATTAGAGAATAGCTTGGCGAGCTGGGAGTACGAGTCTATAGAGTGTCTGGGGAGTTTATGATACCATCTTCTGGCCGTTGACTTAAGTGTCGCGGGGAACACTTTGCACATCATGACATCATTGGCATTTTGAATTCTCATGATGGCCTGATAGGTATGTAGATGTTCATCTGGGTCACCCGAGCCATCATATGTCTCAAGGTGGGGGATTTTAAATCCCTCTTGATATGGTTCTGTTATGATGGATACGTTTAGCGGGGCACTATCCAAGTCAAGGGTCTGTTGGTGCGACCTGGGGCTTTTTAGCTCGTCAATAGATTTCTGTACATCTTTGAACTGTCTTTCGAGATCAGCATTTTTCTTTATCAATTCTTCATTATGCCTGGATGAGCTGGGTTCTGGGTTTAACCTCCCACTTCCCCTTGGTTTGGTTGGGATCACCACATTACTTAGGGCTGGGGAGTTACGGGTTGCAACCACTGTAGCTGGTTGTGCATCCCTGTTCAGCAAAGGAATCAAAGGGTCATCAGGGATCAGGTGGGTAAGGATTTTACCCATTGCCATTTCGAGAACTCTGGTTCTCTTCGAGCTCGGTTGTCTGAGCAAGCTCTGTTGACCTTTCAGGTCGTTCATGCTATAGATTGCCTTGCCTGGGATGTCTTTGCCTTGTTTCTGTTGGAATTTGAAACTGTTCAGGTTAGGTTGCATACCCAGTTGGTGTTCTTTCATTATTATCTGTTCCACTTAATTGATCTTGTTCTACTCCTCATACGAAAAGGTTTCTTGGCATCGGCCTAAAATCATTCAAGCCGGGCTCAGACAGTTGAGTGTCCTCCTGTTCGTCCATTTCATTTCTTGGAGGGAGACTTCTAGTAAAAGTCTTGGAGGGTGACTTCCAGTAAAAGTACGAACCATTCTGTCTCTCAACAGGTTAAGCTACACAACTTTTTGTTCAGTTCCCACAAACGGCACCAAATGTTTGGGCAGTTTCGCAATCCAACACTGTTGAAGTCCTCAGCTACTTCTACACCTGAAAATCCCGAGGGTGTTTCCTCGAGGAAGACACTCCGACGCTCAAGTTAACAATACTCAATATTTTAAAGAGAGATGCTCTCAAAGAATAATTACAGAGAGAGACGTAAAAGAGTTAATATCTTGCATGGAGGTAATTGGGGAGTATTTATAACCCCAAATGCTGACATGCGTCTGTATATGTAAGTATCTCATTAGCTCACGTGGCGTTATTCACATGGATATGTTTGTACCGGTGCTCTCTCACTTTGGACTAATGAATGTCAATCTAAACTCATTATGTACAGCCCAAATTAAATATTCAGTCTATTCCAATAGGTCCCAAATCTCCAATACCGACACGGACTCAATCTTCACGATACAGGAAGGCGTCGGCGCTTCCTTCAGAGGATCGACAACCTGTGCGATTTTAAACGCTACTATAGTTGTTATTATTATTTTAGTGTGAGTCCGCGAGTCTATTTTAATCAGGTTTTTTAAAATTTTATAAATATTTATCTAAAATTAGAATTGAGAGCTTTTATGTGGCTTTGGCAGCTCTTTTTGAATAC